CCTGGCATTTCATAGCTTCTAATGACTTAGTATCTATTGAGCCACTAAACTATAAATGGCATCATACTGTTCAAGACAGAGACACAGCCTAAATATGTACCTCTAGAGGCTCTTTTAAATTTATATAACCCATATCTTAAATTAGCATTATTAACTAATCAGCTAGAGCCAGACAGTGTGGTGGTTATCTTCTGACTCTTGGGTTCCAGCACTGGTATTTCCTGGTTTTGTGATCTGGGACCTGTCACTTATACCTTTTTGTACCTTCATTTCCTCATCTATAAATGGGGAGAACAAAAGCACCAACCTTCACAGGATAATGTGAAGATTAAATGAGATAATGCAAAAAAAAAATTCTTATCACAATTATTGGCATGGTGACAAGCTCAATGAACGTTCATCATTCAGACTATCTCCAGGTTGGTTGCTAGCTATTAATTTATAGATTCTTTTGGTTAGGTTAAACCCTAAAGGCCACTGGGTCCATGGTTCCTTGCCCTCTTTTGTAAAATGAAGTGACTGGATTAGATGGTCTCCAAGATTTCCAAGATCCCTCAAAATTTTAAAATCTGGTACTCTTTTTAGCAGAATTTTCAAACCAAAAATTTCTTCAGTTGAAATACTCTAGTATCTTAACTGTTGAACTGATAAGTAATGTTTCGCAAAGTACTTTTCCCAAAGAAGGGAAAATGTAATAAATATATTAGTGAAGTTGGGAAATTCTCATACATTAAATATCACTTACTCATTCATATTTAAGCTAATTATTTGAAATCTCCTTAAAGTAAGGTTAGCATGGTAGAGTCCAGCACACCTAACACAAGGTAGACAACTATAGGTATTCTGTAACTGTCAACATCTTCTAAGTCACTGGTTCTTAAAGTGTTGTCTCTAGACCGGAAGCATTAGTATTGAATATCACCTGGGTACTTGTCAGAAACACAAGTTCCAGTGACCCATTGCAGACCCGCTGTATCAGAGACTCTTGGGGTGGGATCCAGCAAACTATGTTTTAACAAGTCCTCCCAGAAATTTTGATGATACTGAAGACTTAGTACTACGGTCTGAGTGAAGAGTGAAAAAGAAAGTTCTTTTTCTGCTAAACATTTACCGAAGCAGCTAAAACCGAAATTGAATCTGGCCTTAGAAGATATCAAAGAGAAAGGTCTGCTAGAAATAATTACAAGTCAAGTAACCAATCAACTGACTGAGAAAAGGGGCGAAGAAGCCACTGTCAGTTATTCCCTGTAGAGAAATAAGGTACTAAGAAGGTTAAAGAAAAGTTTAATAAATCATCAGAGAGTATCAGAGTAATGATTCTAGCAAGAGAGCAGCCCCAGTAAGAATACATAATGTTCCATCTTCCTGCCTAGTGTGGAGAACTACAGGTTCTCCATGCTGTCTACTACATGAAAGAAATAAAGTATTACTCTTTCTATTTTTTACAGTAAAAATGAAAATAAAACACTAAGAACTGAAAACCCTGGTTTATGAAGAAGTACATTAAATAGGGAAGGAAATACTTAATGATCTATGCCCATCTGTTTATCTGACAAAACCTAAATATTTTCATTAGATCCTGCACTGAGAAAAGTTTTTGACATACTAGCAATCATAATCATTTAAACAAGATATGATGGAAAGGATAGACAATCAATGTCAGGGTGATAGGAAGACAGGTGATTTTATGTGTTTCAGTGTCTTCCCTATCATCTGTATATCAATCCCAGACCCCTTTCTTAAGTCCAAAATTTCTAATTATCTCCTAGATGTTAATGTCAATAAATCGAAAACTGAGTATATCCAAGCAGGCCTCATAAACCCTACTTATAATCTCTATCTCAGTTAATGGAATTAACTTTCCCCAGTTATAAACCTTAAAACATAATATTTTGTATTTACCAAGTCCGGTCAATTTAATTTCATAATTACCCAAGGATTTACTTCTCTTTTATCTTTTCCATTGTGACCATCTTTATTCATATTCCCATGATATTCTTCCTGTTTCTCTTCACAACTAGACTCTAGAAAACAGGAATAATGTCTTCTCCCCAGTGCCGGGGCTAAGGCCTGACACAGTAAGCATATGCAAATTGTAAATTGTTCCCTGGTGAATGTGCTGGAAGAGTAAACAGATTAATCTGAACTCCCAAGCCCCCATGATTTCAGGAGGCCATCACACATTGCATCTTTCTTCAGGAGACAGAAATCAGGAGATTTCTTCAGGAGAAAGAAATTTGGGAAAGAATACTGTATCTCCTGATCCACATCGGTCACATTTTAAGCTCTAAGCAAGTGTTCTAATCGTCAGATTTGTGTGTTGTTTTTTGTATTAGATCCTCTTCCTTGACTCATCTTAAGACAAGTTATGTTTATCTTGTCCTCTCGGATATTAGCGTTCTCAGCTTTTAACACTCGGCTTCCGTGACCTCAACAAAATTAATGGCAGTGTGTTCCAGGGTCTTTGGGAGAAGCCTATGAGACTGGAAATTAGGCAGAAATAGTAAACACAAAATGGCTTTCAATGATCACAAGAATCATCTAAGGAATTACAATTTATGAGAGAAAAAATTCCTGTCAAGAATTTATTTGTTACCTACCAGACACTGGCTTATGGAAACTGTTATTCCAAACAAGGTTGGCCATACTTAGGAGACGCATTATCTATGTAGAGCACAGATAAACAGCCAGGCTCTCATGGGGCTTGTCTACCTTTCCTCCCCCCAACAAGCCCTGAGGACTTCTCTTATGTGCTATACTGTATACATTTCATGACATAACAACCTCACTTGTATTGTACAAGATACCAGGCACTCTGAGGTAGACTGGAGTTGCTCTTTCCAAATTAGAAAGTTCAAACCAAAAGATGCAATGTTTTGTTGATTCTCAGTGCCTTCGCTGAAGAGGAATTCTAGAATGTGCAAATAGAAAAGGAAAATTCTTGGCTTACAAACTGATACAAGAGAAATCTTCCAGAAACACATGGCCTGGGATATTTCAGACTCCTGGCAGATTGCAAACCTTTACTGCCTTTTATTAATAATCAGGGTTCAGATCAAGTGCCTCTAAGAAGCCAGGACCCACTTGTCAGACTAGACTTTAGCTCAAAAGTCGAACATCTTCCAACAAACAATCTCATAATAGCAGATATCTTCTCCAGATACCAAATTACTTTGGCCAGCACAAATGTCATGTACTAAACAGACACTGAAATGTTTGGTCACTCTTCTCTAGACAATAGAATTAAGAAGGTTATACAGTAATAAACAGGGAAAACACAATTGCAATTTTGTTCTATTGACTTGTTGCAACCTCAAATGATCTAGGCCCACAGTCCCAACATCTGTCTTATGGTTGCCCTTATAGATATGAAACAACAGCGTGTACGATATAAGATCATTGTTATTAGGAAATGCAAATACTTTAGGGGTATGATTGTGGAAGGAGTTTCAAAATCACGAGGGGCCTGGGAATGTAGAGCCTGAACTTACACAGATAAAAACACACTCTTACTCATTCCTGTCTACGTGTCCTGTGTTCCTCTAGTGGTGGAAAACTGCGATATAACATAACATATGCCTTCAGATATTACCATTACCTATCCACCTCTGTCAAGGTTAGTACAAGTTTGAAAGGATACATGAAAGAAGCAAATCCTTCTATCAGGAAAGTTTTACCAATATGATGGGAAGGTATCCCAAACAACTGGATATGAGAACAAAAAGCTAGTAAAGCAACAAGCAAAGAACTATTGTCGTCGTGGAGTGTTGTTTTATCAAAGTTTGGGCTCAGGTAAGGGAAAGGGGTGCATGGTGGTGAGACATAAGAATGGGCCATAGAACACAAACTTCTGGGGAGATTTTTTCAGGAGACACCCAGCCATGAAGTTCTTCTCCTAATCATGGTGGGGATTCTGATCAAAGTCCTCCGGTAAAGCAAAGATAATAGTAGCTACAGCAGAGCTTGCTTTAAAGGAATGTAACATCTCTAAGAGTCCATCATTTGCAGAAACTGTTTGCGCCTTATCAAATAGAACAGAAATTGCTAGAGCTGTAATAACACACGTTTTTATAAGATTTTACTTTAAAGGACAGATTTGAGCCAATGAAGTACATGCAATGTCTCTGCAATTAGTCAGTGAGACATGATGCAGGGAAGTGAAGAGTTCAGTGTGAAAGGATAAAGAATCAGAGAGACGATTCAGATACAGGGCAGTAACAAAGGGAAGGATCTAGATGGACAAATGGGAAAAATAGAAAATAAGGAAAAAATAGATTCCTTATTTGTTTATGTCAACGATTTCTGCACTTCCTTAGTGGTAAAAAAAAAAATAGGGAGATAGGAATAAAACCACATTGTATTTATAATTGTGTGCCATTTTGGTTTATTTTCTACCCGTGATGTTAAGATACAGCTACATTTTGGCATTAGTATATTTGATATAGTTAAGCCTACAGTCAGAGTTCAGTTACTTTTTAGTAATCTTTTTTTTTCCTGCTTTTAAAAAATTTAAGTCTCAATTTAAAAGAATCTACTGGAGTTTGCTAAAGAACAATATCAGAATTATATGTACAACTCACTTCTGCAATAACATGCAGAATTCCAGAACAGGCAAGCAGGTTAAAAAGGAAACTAGCAAAAGAATTCAGCCTGTCACTGTAGAACGTCAGAAAATGACGCACGAGAGGAGAAACACCTACATGTACACAGTAGCCCCTCGAAAACATTATTGACCATTAGATAGAAATGTTTCCAATGTATGGGAAGCCACCACAGGCTACTTTGTTTTGCTTTGGTTCTCACTAAAGTCTGATTAGCCAGGGTAGGGGGTGCAGGGGGCGGTGACTTTTGGAGAGTATAAAATGTGTACTTAGCAGTGGTTTTGTGTCATAATAGTTATGATTTCAAGGCTAACATTTCTTAATATTTGGGGAGAATATGACCATCCATAGAAACCTTCTGCAAGTAAAATAAACTAAAGCTAGTATTTTTGCACGTACCTGTTTTTCTCCACTGGGCTTCTTGTGGTTCAGTAACAGCTCTACAGCTCCGACAACTTCTTTCCTGATGGCGTGTAATAGAGCATCTCCAACATAGACGTTACAGCTTAAGAGTAGTTCTATGAGCTCCAAGTTCTCATTTTCGATTGCAATGAGGAGAGCAGTTCTTCCAAGTGGATCGACGCAATTAATATTGATTTTAAAATAAATTTCAGCTTCCTCTAGGGATTTCTTGACACTTGCATAATCTCCCTTTTCCACAGCGTTCAAGTAGGCTTTCTCGGAGGGTGAGAGCTCTGATTCTGCTCGGACTATCCTGAGAGGAATGCGGTCTCTGTAGGGGGCATTAACATTTCTTTTGTAATAGAACTGAGCCATGTTTCATGCCATGCTATTTCTTGGTCTCTGAAAGTGCAAACAAAAACCAACACACACAAGGATTAGCATTAGCACACTTTTGAATGATTATGCATCGCATTTAACAACTCACAATGAGGCCAATAACAACGATGAAACCGCAATTATTAAGTGAGAAGTTATGTTCCCTTTAAACAATGGAAATAGGCAATAATTATTCAGTTATCTAGAAACACAGGTTTCAAAGTTGTTACTTAAGAAGAAAGAGAGGCCAGTATTTGGCAATCAAGTTACTTAAAAAGTGACGTCTGTCAGAGGTTGCACCTGTAATTTTTAAAAATTATTTACAAAATTTATCATAAATATATATTATTTTTAACGGAGCACCTTGAAAGTCAAAGGCTGTATCTCTGGGGTCCCCAAACTGGACCAGGGATTTTCAAGAATGTCAGTCACTGTCAGTTTTGCTCATCATGGACATGCTGTTGAGATTACGGAGTATCAATATCTGGGAAAAATGTTTTTCACTTTCATTTCTAGTTTTAATGTTTGTAAGAACTGATGTTAAAGTTACTGTGAGTTACTGATATTAATGTCAATAAAATATCATACTGAGCCCGATGAGCATAATTTTATTTTTTTCCTCTTGTAAGTAAATTCATTGAGGAGGAAAAATGTGTACCAATGGTATTAATTATCAAGATGAGTCTAGGCAATTTAATTTCCAACAGAAGCATTTAGAAAAGGATTAAATATATGGTTTATTATGAAAATGCTATTTTCTTAATTCTCTTACCTCTGTATCATGAAACAATAAACCACAAGGCAGGAATACATTTATTGTAAAATGTAATATTATTTTGAAGTTACAGTAAATATACAGTTGAAGATGAGGAAATTATTTCAAATAAATAAGAGATTATCATCTTAAAATAGATTAATGAAAAAGTCTGATGTCGCTAAAAGTTATACTGATTTGGTAATCATCTTAGAGGTACAAACTTACTGAAAAATGTATTCTGTTTTGAATATAATTTCTTTACTGCTGTTAGGTCCTGATTCCATACTTATGGTCTGAACTATTTTATTATTCTATGTCATTTATATTCAACCCACGTTTATTTGCATACATTCACTATATCAAATTAAAATGAATGGGGTATTCTAAGTACCTGAACATGCGTATTCATCTTAATTGATCTTTTTAGACCTAATCATTTTATAAGTAACTTAACAGATTTGAATAATGCTTTAACTGTAGCTTGAACATGCATTGCATTAACAAATGTGATTATATTTAATGTAATGTTCTCAATTTGGGAAAGTATGCATTGTTTGTATGCTACCTCAATTTAACAGTAATTTCAGTTATCAAATACTTAAGTTTTATTTTTTGATGTCCAGATTATGCATCATGATTTCTCAAATATCTAGGTTCAGGATCTAATACACAAAACTGTAATTCCGTAATTTCTTCCTTTCTGGCATATTTGATTCAGCACTTTATTAAGGCCTCTTCATAGACTAAGCAAAAAGTGGTAATCCAATAATCCAGAATATTTTTCTCAAATATTTCACGTTTTGTTAGTCTTGGTGTTTTAAATGTATAATGACCAACTATACAGCATGATCTAAATTTATTTTTACAATTGCAGACAAAGTGTGTTGTGAGTTCTTTAAATAGCAATATTACCTTTTCAGAGGAACACAAAAATTAATACTGGTGTTCAGATATATTAATTTTAGACATGCAAATTGCTTACTTGAAGCTTGATTATAATTTCAGTATTTAGACAATGCATTAACTGACTAGAATAACGGGAACAAAATTATATTATCAGACAACAAAGACAATTTAATAGTCCTCCAGTATAACCAAAACTTCAAAAATCAACATCATTATTACGTTACATGTCTCTTTTTAATTTTCTGATCCCAAATGCCCCATATATGCATCAGTGGTAACATTAAAATATTTGCCTTAGGAAGGCAACTGTCACCCACTTCCCCAGCACAACTTTTCTATCCATGTCAGCATCCATGAAAGTGTGCGGGATCAAAGTTGTGGTTTTCGCATGGCAGTTTTATCCAGACTATAGTGTAAATCTTCATAATGATAATAACCGCCATTTATATTCTATTGCAGCAGTATACATTTTCTATTACCTCACTTTGTCCTTACCCATGGCTCTTGGAAAAATACATTAATTTTCATTTTCTAGAGTTGAATCCAAGGTTTCCCACCAACAATATTTTTGCTTAAGACTAGTGTTTCATTGTAGCTTACCCAAAATACAGGTTAAAATGAAAGTATGAACATACATACACATCCACAGTATCAGAAATTCATGTGAATTATGGCTCAGTCAGGATTAGGAATCAGCTTAGAGGATGGAAAAACTGTATTTCATTTTATCTCATTTACTTTGTTTTATTAATGATGGTATCATATAAAATGTTAGACAGCAAACAGCATTTGACTTCTCATTTTCAGAGTACAAGATGTTGGTGACAACGAAGGGATTGGAGGACAACATAGCAGATACTGGAGAATTTGTGCGAGAGGAGGGGACAGGTAATGAGAAGTTAGACTTACTAAAATCTATTTCATTTAATCCAGATAACTACCATAAATGTAAACTACGTAAGTTTCAAAAAGAGTAATATGACATTGAGAGAAAGATATATTCTATTCAACGTTGTGTTTAAGATGTGAATTGGGCATGAGACTTTCCATTAGATAACCTGTCTCTCCATCTATAAAGTGAGGAGAAACAACAACGATGAAGGAATGGGTGAGGAGAATCAAAGAGTTAGTGCTGAGAAAAACCTTTTATCTGCTGTCCTCTTTTAACATCTTGAATTTGATAAAAAAAAAACAAACAAACAAGAATTCATGTTTGGGAGGCTACGTGGATTTGAAATATACTTAAAATGTAAATGCATAAAGTAAATAAAATGTACTTTATGTATTTATTTACTTTATGTACTTATTTACTTTATGTAAATACATAAAGTAAATAAAATTTAAATATTTACAGTGGAATAGTAAAACATAGAGAAAGAGAGAGAGGGGAAGAGAAAGAAGGTGGAGCAACTCCGATTGATGGCTAAAAACTTAAGAAAGTCAGGAAGAGTATATAATTTTTCAGTACATCCACTTGTCCTTCTGGATTATCTGGTGCAGTGATACTAACAGAAGGACAAAAATCAAGTTTAACAATTGAAAACTGTGATACACGAATGTAATTGCAAGGAGAAGCTGCCGATAAGGCCGACGGCTCCTGAGCTGACACTCTTATCAGCAACAATGGAACGTCTGCAAAAAAAACAGGGGTCTCACTGAAGCAAATATCTTGACCTCAAATGTGGAAATAAAAGCCTGTTTCTGACCCTGCACTTTCAGAATAAGCTTTCTGGAGGAAAAAGATATTTTTTTTCCCCATAAATTACAGAGGTGAACAGATCCTTTGATTTCAATGCCCCCTTTATGACACATAAGCCAGAAGTAATATGGCTGCTTCATCAAGTTATGTTTCAAAGACTTGGAAGAGCTATGGGATGTGATGAAGAAAAACTCAAATCCCGCGACGTGAATTCTCAATTAACCCAACATTTATTTTCCCTGAATATGTTTGGGACTTAAGAAAGAAAACTGCAGGAGAGCTTCACCTTGACATCAATCCCAAGAGAAATTTTTTTAAAACTGTCCCTAGATATGAAAACCACCATCATCTAAACAACATGAAGATATGCAGGAAAACAAAAGTTCCAGAGATTTATAGGGTCTGAAGGCATATTCCCTAAAGGATAAATTTAGCTGTGTGGTGCAAAGAAGAGTGAACTTGAATTCCGAAGAACAGAAAGGAAAGAAAATAGACAGAAATCTCCACTCTTGAGTATGCATTATTAAAAGTAAAATAAAATTTCCCCAAACAACGTTGTTTTTTCTTTTTTGCTTTTTATTCCCTAACTACCAAAAGATACATTTCATACACGTGTGATCTTATGACACAGTGAGAAATAAAGACTCTCATTTTTTGTTAGGATACTATGGCACATATCTAAGTTATATTTGTATTTTTTTCTGAAATCTGATATAAAATAACAATTTCGCAGATAACTTATTCACACTCAATCCAATTCGGATTTTTTTCTTGCTATTGGTATAGTATATTATCTCAATAATCTTTGATATAATGCATACTCCACCTAAAAGCATAATGCTCTCATTTTGGCTATCATTCCTAACTCCAGGCTTTTTCTTCATCATCTTTCACGTGGCTACACCAATATCCTTCTAATAATCTCACCGATGTTATCCTTTCATCCTCCCTGTTTAGTCTCCACAAAGCCACGTGCCTAATATTTCTAAAATGTAAAGCTGATTCAATCACTCTCTCACTTTTAATCCTTAAATGACTGAGAACCATTCACAGGAAAAACACTAACCTATTATGGAATACGGGACCTCCATGACCTGGCTCCTAAATGCCTTCTTAGATATATCTACCAAGGCAGCTCCTGGAAAACCTTATTTTACACTGACAAGAATCCCAAACCACTTGGCCACTACAGTTTTAAGCATTTCCTCACACTTTTCTTTACAAGAGGAAAATTGTTCCTCCCCTGAGTCTCTGGCAACTCTTGCCAAGTTTTAAAAACCTTCTGTGAAGTATCATAGCCTCTGAGGATTTTTCTTCTCTTCCTCTTAAGGCAGAGTTAATGGCCTTTTTTATGCATCTTCAGAAACCCTGTGGACCTCTTAGCTTTAGAACATTTTTTTTCTTTTTACTGTATAAAAGACTGTGACTTATACCATATTGCATCCCCAATGCTAAGCAGGTAGTTAGTGCCCCAAATTTGTTGATGAATCAATGAATTAATGACTATACTTTCAGAGTTATTCCTCTGTCATTTGGGGTAAAGGAATAAAGTTAATAGGGTAAAATTGCTTCAATCAGGTGCCAAAAAATGGTTTAGCACTTGTAGGCCCGTTGAAGGCAACAATGCATAACCGGACATCCAGCCAACAGTCACGAAGCTACTGAATACCCCGGGAAAAATGCTTTCATTTTTTACCTAGTTTTCTTCTCTATCCTACCCCCAAGGTTTTTTTCACCCATACAAAGAATTATAACTGTAATGTGTAAATCAACACATCTATAGCTCTCAGCTCTGGAATACACTTCCTATCACTACTACCTAAGTCATCAGAAAGGCATAAGATTTTGGTCAGTTGGCTGATACTTCCAGGGAAATGCGAGCACAGAGGAAAAAAGTACAAGACAGCCAAGGCTAGCAAAATGAATGTCTTATAATGGGAGAAACAGAGTTAATATACCTGTAAACAGGAGACTAAAATACGTGTATAAATATCTACAAAATTATAAAGAGAATATGAGAAAATCTGAGGAATAAGAAATCATCAAGGATAAGTAATTGGAGATACTGGTAGAACGACCATGGAATGAATCAGTAAACTGGAAGTTCAGATCGTGAAATTCTCCCAGTTAGGAAAAAGTAAAAGTGAAGAGAAAAAGAGAATGTATGTATAAGAGCCAAAATCTATAAAATAGCAATTGAATGAAGAAAAAATAAAACAGTGGAGTGCAGGACATATTTTTAGTATTAATGACCAAGAATTTTCATAATTATAAAAGATATAAGACCTCCCATGGAAAGAATCCATAGCACCACATAAGATATATAAGAATAACTCCTTCATAGATTAAAAAAAATTATAAAGGAGAAAAAAATATCCCCTATGAGAATATCCCCTACCACATACATCATAAGGAATAGCTGTGACAACATTAGTTTTTGTTCTAGAAAAACTTTGCCCAGGGAAGATAAGACTGTAAACCAATAAATAACTCAGGATTTCACTATTCCATCAAGAAATTCCTGCATATAAGTTTATCTGAGATAATATCCTGCTCACCTGGGCAAACAGCTTCCTTATCAAACACTTTACTTATCAAGACTCTCTCCAGAACCCTCACTGGGCCAAATCTACCAATCCTAAATTAGTATGTCACAAATATTGCCCAATATCAATCATTCTCCTATCTTGAAATATCCACCTTAAACTCCTTGTACCCAGGGCAGAAAACCCTACAGATATTCTCCCCAACTGTCCCCTTTGGTGGCACTACACAGCTATATCAATGTGATGTTCTCCCTACTGCTGGGAGTTATAAAGAACTTATCCTTGCTTTACTGGAAAACTATGATAATGTTTTGGGAGTCTGATACATAAAAAGAATAAAGAATCAGATTAACATCAGACCTCTTAACAGCAAACTTGGAGGTTAGAATGTAATGAGGTTTTGACTGAAAAGTAGAAAAGGATAACCCCCCCACAAACAGAATTTTGAAGCTAGAATTTCATATTTATTAAAATTATTTAAATACAGGGAGGAATAAAATTAGTCTCATGCATACAGCCTCAGAAGGCTGCTCACATGAAGACCATATTTGATCATAGGATGACACTACAATACACGGAAAGTATAGATATAAAGAGAAAGATTTCTATGGTTTAAATAGTTGAGTTTTTGTCTGTTTTGCTCACTGATCTATGTACGAGGCTTAGAAAAGGGTCTAGTATGTAAAAAGTACACAGTAAATATTTACTGAATGAATAAAGTATCTACTGAACATCTGTATGTCAAACGTGTATATTAAGCATTGGCAATACCCTGAAGCCGGGATCCTTGCACTCACGGAGCTTAGGATCCATTGGATGGGACCCACAAAAAATTAAAAAAGCAAAGGAACCAACAGCAAAATTACCGTTTTTAAGGGCTACAATGGAAACAAATGATGAGAAGGGGTGGAGAAAGATGGAGATCGACCTTAGGTAGGGGGCTCAGGGGTTACCTCTCTATGACATGAAAGGTGACAAAAAGCCAGCTAAGTGAAATTAAAAAGTGCAGAGAAGACCATTATGTTAAAACGATCTGAAAGTGAGAAAACAGTGAAGCGGGAGGGGCAGGATGCATTCTAGGATGTAAAACAGGTACAGCATGTCTGGAGTGTTGTGAGCAAGGGAGAGAGTGGAAGAAATGACTTCTGTAGCCAGGAAATGCAGTGTGAGGATCTGGGAATGTATTCAAAACATAATAAGCAATTCTTGAAGGGCTTTGAGCTGAGGACGTACATAATCCAATTTCTGTTTTTCTTTGTTTGTTTTTTGTTTTGGGGTTTTTTTGGGCCGCACTGCACAGCATGTGGGATCTTAGTTCCCCGACCAGGGATGGAACACAGGCCCCCTGCAGTGAAAGTGTGCAGTCTTAACCACTGGACCACCAGGAAAGTCCCTCCAATTTCTGTTTTTAATGGTCATGTAGGCTGCTGATTGATTTGGAAATGCATAAGAGTGAAAACTAAGACCATCTGACAATAAACCAAGTGAATGCCATCAAGAGTTTATATCACAAAGGAGGAAACATTAACCCTTAGGATTAAGAATGCAAAACCCAGACTCTGATGGTGGTATGTTTGTGGAGATTTAAATGTCTGCTCATATTTTATTGAGTTTATTAATATTTTATTAGTGCTCTGATTGAATATATTTCAAGTACTCTCATTCTAATCCT